GCTGGGCAGCTTTCCAGCCACTCTTCCCCCAGCCTGTAGCTTGGCATGAGGTTGTTGTGACCCAAACGCACGACCCAACACTTGGCCTTGTTGAATCTCATGCCGTTGCCTCAGCCCATTGATCCAGCCTGTCCAGACCTCTCTGTAGAGCCTTCCCACCCTCAAGCAGATCACCGCTCCTGCCCAACTTGGTGTCATCTGCAAACTTACTGAGGGTGCCCTCGATCCTCTCATCCAAATAATTGATAAAGATATTAAAGAGAACAGGCCCAATACTGAGCCCCGGGGAATACCTGCACAGTATAGTTAAAAAAAATCATAAACCTACAGTAACTTTCAAAAGGAAAATAAACTGGAAGATGCAAGGAGCCATCTGCAAAATGCAGTCAGAAAGAGTCTGCAAGAGGCAAGAGTGAAAGTGTACAAGGTGTTAAAGAAAGCAGAGACCAATGCAACTTCTAACAGCTCCTTTGGACTTCGTAAAGGCAAAACCATTTTGAAAAAAAAAAAATAATTAATGAGACCAAAGCTGAAGATAGAGCCCAAGAAAAATGATTCAGAGAACACACAGTGAAATAAAGCTTCTCTTTGGGAATTGGTAAAGACATAGCTTCCTCCAGTGGTGGGGATATCATGTGTAGCCACTTCCCGAGTATTTACAGGTTGAGCACTGGCACACTGACTAATGGGTCCTTTGACATTGCAGTAAAGCATCTGGAAAGAAAATCTAAGCTTATTAAGAACAGATGGATAAGAACCAGGTCAGCCTTTCCTATTGCTCCTATTTGTAAGCTAAATGCATAAGTAATCTTGGAAAGACGGTTTGAGTCATTTTGGGAAATGGTGTCTAGGACTCACCATGCCAGACAATAGGCTTCATCAAAAGAAACAGGACTGAAAAAGAACAGGAATACATAGAAAAGGTTGTTCTCTGAGCAGTGAAAGTCTGATTCCTACAGATCTGTCTCATGCAGCCCCTAGATGAGGACCCCTGCCCTCCCACAAACCCTCACACCCCCCCCCATCATTACCAGAGCTACACATTGATTTGTGATCGTTATTCCCTCGATCCCAAAACAGTCTTGTTAAATAGTGCAATCATCGAGCATGTCATGCCAAGAACAATATCTGTGTTTTCTTCACCTGGCACCCATACAGCGTTAGTGCCAGGTTATGGGGCTCAGGTTGATTTTTAGGAGTTTAAATGTTTTGGAAAATAACATGCCATTCAGTGTGCTCAACCAAGCATTAAGTTTCTACAATTTAATCATCCTGTAATAAATTCTGTCAAAATTGTTAAAAAGGGTTCTTAAAAATGCTGAAAAGTCATATTTGGCACCAGTAAATTAAAAGAAAGGCTGAAAACTTGCTGGGGTGTTTTTCGATAGAAAGTCTAGAACAGGTGCATGAATATGTAACAACAGCATTAAAAGCAGGGACACAGTGTAAGAGCACCACAGGAAAATTAATTAGAAATGTATTACAACGAAAACATGACTTGAGCTAACAGGTTTGCATGTGGGCACTCTTCTGGAGGTAGCTGGGCTCACAGCAAAGTCCTTTCCCTCTGGTTTCCTGCAGCTGCCATGCTCCTGAAGAACCTCCCCATGGTGGCAAAAGATGGAGTGCTTCCACAGCACCAATCTATCAGGGGCCATATTCGAAAGGTGGAGAAGTAGTGAGCCAAGATACCAACTGAACATTCCATCTCATGTTGAGGGCAGCCTTACTCCCTACCCTTGGGCAGACGGAGCTCGATGAACTGTGAAACTGTGGAGGCTGCAGGACAAGCCCGCCCCGACACCTGCCTGGCTGGTTGGGAAGGCAGCAAACGCCACAGAAACCAGCTTGGCTACTCACAGCATTCCTCAAGGTAGACCTTTTCTACCATCAGCCCCATGCATCTGAGTCACAAGTCATTTAACCCTTTCTCAACAGGGTAGGGAGCTCTTCAAACATTTCTTTTCAGGAAGGAAAAAAAAAAAAAAAAAAGAAAAAAGACCACAGATCAGACCCATACTTAGTGCTTGCCAACAATTGCATGTGTTGGTGATGGTCTGCAAGCATTTCTCCTCTAAAAAGGTGGCCGAGGAATGCTTTCTGCTTGGTACTTTGGAGGCAGAGAGGCACTCCAGAGGCAGCAGAAGGTTCAGGTCTGGAAAAAGTTTTAGCACATTTATAACATTGAACAAAAATCCCATGAAAAAGCATTCACAGATTAAGTTGCTTTTCACTTTCACGCTCTCAGTGCCTCACTGACCAAATATTCCCAAATATTTTCCCATTCTAAGCCCTGCTTGGACTAAAGGCTCAGTATCATCTTACGCCAGTCAAAATCTATCCTGCAGCACCTCCTCTTCTTTACCGGTGTTGACACAAGCAGAATTAGGAACTGTTCTTGCTGAACACCTTATTTCAGGTTTGGGTTTTGTAGGGTTTTGGGCTTAGTCAGTATTTCAAGTAGGTGAATACCCTGCTTCTGATCCTCCCCACCCCAGTACAGTCACTGGTACTGGCATAGGTAAAGCAGCAGCAACACACACCTGGAGGTGGGACTGCTGGCTTTGGCAGCAGCACAAACCGAGACTTCAGAGACTGACCCTGAAATAGCGTGGGCTCCTCAAGGAGTGCTTCCAACCTACAAAGCCAACAGCAGCTACACCTCAGCAGCCCCACGTCACAGGACACAGCTACAGCTGCGCACACCAGCCCCCTGCCTGATCTTCTCCATGTAGTACCCAACACCTCATGGTTGGAGGCTCTCACTGCAGACAGAAATAGTTTTCACTCACTGGAAAACCTCCTTTTCCTCCCAACTCTGCATGCTTGCACTTGTCCTCTCCTCTCTGCCTGGTTTCTCCTTTTTCAGTGACTGGCCTGCCCCTCAGTAGGCTCTCCCATTTCTTCTCCTGCCCTCAAGGAGGTTGGCAATCACACCCCGAAGCTCACCTTGCTGGAAACAGCTTTCTGCCAACACGATGGATGGTTTCTTCTGCCATGGCGAAGAAGAATGGGGGAAGATGGTTTGTACAAGGGCATCATTTCACAGAGCATTTTCTCTAATAGAAAAACTCTTCCCAAACCCTCCATCTCCCAGCCTCTGTCCTGACCAAAGGCCACATTCGCAACTCCCCCTGAAGCCATGGAGAAAATGTATGCAACGTTGCAAGAACCAAGACAGGGTGACAGCTGAAAATGTCCGCTATTCAGTCCTTTCCCACCTCCTGAGCCTGCAGCTTGGAGGGAAGAAGGGGAGGGTAACTGTGGGGTAAAGTCTGGCCATGCATGGCACCCACTGGGTGCCACAGCCAGGCAGCAACTCTGTAAACCAAGAAAGATGTCTGTATAATCCTACCTATTTATAAAACTAAGCTTAAAACAGACTTTCTGTTATTGCGTGCACAAAAAATGCTCAAATTCATGTTTATGCGAAGCACAGGATGCAGATCTATGACAACTGACAAATTCTAGGCAAAAAGCTCTCCAAAAATCACTGCAGTTTTCCAGTGCAGTGGTATTGATAGCGCAGGAAAGCAATTAACTGTTGTACACCACTTTCCTTATTGAGAAAGGTGTGTGGCAGATACCTTGCTGCCATTTGCTTTGCTTTTTTTTTTTTCATTAAAAAAATGTCATATATTCAGGAAAAAGTCAATTTAAGTTGCTTTCACTTTTAATTCCTACATATGAATAAAACTCTCTGCTCACCTGTGGATGACAAGATCAGGTCACTAATTTGCAAAAGAACAACCTTTAGGCTCCTGCAAAAGAGGTGGGACATGGAAGTGCACTAAATATGGCAGCTCAGGGACTCATTGCAGTCAGCTGCCTTTCTGGTGATTTCTGAGGGCGCTGACTGTGCCTGAAGATAGCAGGCTTTAGGAAAGCTGATGAGATCCTACACACATCCCTACTCTTGGTTCCTCCCACTCGTGGCAGGCACAACTGAACCACTTGTGGCTCCTTTGCTGAATTACAAGAGCTTATACAGCAAGACTGTTTTAAAACAAACCATTAATTTTTGTTCCTATGCTATCAGTCATCTTGAACGTTATCTCACCATCCCCTAAGTTTCAACTAGTATGTCCATCATCCAAGCTTTCCCTCATCCATCCCAGTCAGAGCGCACACCACTGGAGTACTTCTCCATTGCCCGGAGAAGTGCCAGGCAGCAGCAGGACAATTCAAAATAGCCACCACCAGCTTCAGTCTGCAGGGTGGGAAGGGGGGTGGCTGGGCCAGCTCAAGAAGCCCCTTTGCCTCAGCACTCACTGCTGCAAGCACTGGCTCCGCAGCACCGGTAGGACACCACCATGGACCATTATTCAGCTCACCATGGTCTTCCTCACTGTCGGTGTCATGGTGTGGTAGGGATTTAACGTCCTACAGCTACTTCTCCCTGCTTCTCTTAACCTAAACGCAGCGGGGAAAGAGCAAGGACAGGGTGTCACAGAGACAGGCAGACCTGACACAGAAGAACCAGGTGAGAAGAGCTGTCAGAAATGCAACCATGAAACAAAGCAAAGTTCATTGCCAGCATTAATTACAAAGCCTCCAGGATGCAGGAGCTTCCTGCCATTTCCTGGAAGGGTAGGCCATGACTCCTGTCCCGTGCACCGTGATGTAGGTACTTTCACTTTTCCTCCTTCTACATTCCCCACCCAGTCTCCCTTTGGCACACCAGCACCATCACAGGCAGGAGTCATCCCTGTGTGACTATATCAGTGGGTCAAGTTAACAGTATACTCAGCAGCAGCAGGTGTCACTGCATCAGAGTACCCAAGGCAGGTACATCCCCATCCCAGGCTGGAGATAACCTGAAGGTTAAAATTTAGCACTTTCTGCTGGTAAAGGAATAGCCCCTACCAAAAAAAAACCCCACAAACTATGACTCAAAATTCTTCAGGGGATTGATGTTGGCTTGCTGCATTACAAAATGTTCTGAAGCTACTACTAAAATTGAACCAACATTTAAAAAAAAAAAAAAAAGAAAAAAAAGATGTACTAAAGTATAATTTATTCAGTGTAAATTCAATGGAGATGCCACCGTTCATCACAGGATCATACATTGGCCCCCAGTGCTGTACTCCACGATATAGGCAGGGTAAATCTGGTGCTTCTCAAAGATGACAAATATGGAAGGGTCTGTCAGGTCATCCACGCAGCTGTCATAAAGTCTGTTTGATTTGCTGTCCCTGGGTGGAGGGCGAAGGTATTCGGGGTTTCCCTGAACAAAGTCTCCAACAAGAACGTCAGCTACAAACATGCTGTAGCGACCACTGTGAGAGGAACAGTACATGTGAGAATAGCTGGCATCTCTGGCAAAGTAGCTTCCTAGGGACCAGAAAAAGCCATGGATAAGACAATACATCAACCAAGGAACGAACATCTGCTATCAGCACGATAGCAGCCAGTGATTCAACAACCCCAGGTAGTTCTACACGCATCTTCAGCAAGTTTTTCCATGTTGTCTTATTGTAAAGCATCAACAGCCTCTAGCCACATTTCACCATCAACCTCCCAGTCCCACCTATCCAAGAGCTTTGCTGAACAGCAGGTACCTGAAGCAAAGAGGGGTGGTTTTAGCCCCTCCTGAAAGGGGATTGCTGCTGATGTTGCCTCCAGCAATGCAGAGGCACGCAGGTGAGAGTGGCTTAATTGGGGTCAGGGACAATCAGTCACCTTGCACTCATCCAGGGTGGTCAGGGTCTGCAGCCCATGCTTTTATGGCCCCTGAACCCACACTTCTGCACTTGTACCTTTTCCATACATCGTCCCATGAGTCCCACAGATCCTCCAGTCAAAGTTCTGCTCACAGATGGCAGACACGTGGGATGGACTTGTCCCGTGGAACAGGAGCCGCTCATCCACCCATTTCGATTTATTGAGCTTCTTCATCTGCTCCTTTTGCCTAATGACAAAAAAAAAAAAAAAAAAAAAAAAGAGACTGACATGTTAGCCTGGTTCAAACAAGGACAATTTCCCAACTCAAGTCCTCCTACTTTTGGGTCATGGAGAAACAGTGACACAAACCACTCTCAGTGGGGTTACTGCCCGCTTTACACTTCTGTTGGTACCCTGCTGCACAGCTGGCTCCTCCCAACAAAACAAAAAGTTCTCAGCATCGCTACGGACTGCGTCACCCACAACTTCATACCACATGAGAGAGTAAAGAGACAAACAACTCTTGACTGCGAATTGGTCAGTTCCCAGGTTACATAAATCCTGAATGCATAAATATGGTTACAAAACTGAGCTCTCTGAAGCCACAGTGAAGACTGTATAATCTCTACCCCTATCTTGATCACATAAAACTTCCCAATTTTTTTAAAAATCCCACATGGAAGAGACTAAGAAACAAAAAGGATAAATTTGAGACATCATAGCTTAGTCACGGTAAAGGAAAAGAACTTTCTTTTTGAACAACACTAGCAAGAACCACACATAGAACTTGTTAGGTTAGTGATAAAAAGAGCACACAGGCAACCCCTATAACCTGATCACAGAGAAAGAAGCCCCAGACCTGGCCCCTTCCAGGGCTTCCCCAGGGGAACCTCAGCCCCAGACACCAGGGGACACCCGGCACGATAAGCAGTGCAAATGCTCTGGAGCAGCTCATGGACAGAAGTGGGGTACCACCTATGAGAGCATGGGACTCATTATGGGTCAGCTGGGAAGAGTGTTTGGGGATTGCACAGGACTTATAATGGGCTTTTTAACAGAGGAACTGTAGGTGGGAGACTCTCCAGGCCTGCGTGCGCTAATATGGGGTCTGGGTGCAGCAACTGGAGTGGGACCCTGAGTCACAGGAGCTACATGTTCACAGCACCACCAACTGCAGCAAGCAAGGGTGTGTGTGTGTGTCAGTGTGTGATCACTAACCAATATCAAGCTGGACAGCCAGTGAGGAGGGTAGCTGGCCTAGGAGTCAGGTATTGGAGCAGTCATAAGTCTGGGCCAGATACTGAAGAGACCAGAAGGTCTGACCTTGCTTACTGGGGGAAGCAGGAGGTCAGGGTCAACCACTGAAGTCTATAGAGACCCATTTGCGTGTGTTGATGCAGAACATAACTGGAGACAACAGGACCAGCACATGGGTAGGCTGTTTAAGACCAGTTCCTAGAGGGACCCATACACTTACGTATGTTCCAGTAACAGGCTTTCAATCCAATCAGCCAAAGGAAGGGAAGAAGATGAGACCGTTGGTGCTGTTTATGATCACATGACTCCTGTGCTGTGTTAGTTTTTGTGTTCAACTGTGAGCGTATTCATACATTTTGTGTGTATGCGTGTGGTCATGTGTCTGTGCCTACTGGGAACATGTTCTGAACCTTGCTACCAGATGGATACATGGCAGTCTCACCTCTGCTGGACTAATGGATTTGGCAACTCCTAAAGCAGACTATGGAGGAGACAATAAATCAGGAAATACCAGTCTTCTGCTACCATAAGGATAATGAAATAAAATAGATACAAACCACTGAAAAACTTGCCAAAGTGCCAGGTTCTGGATCCTCTGCAGTTGGTGGATGTAGTAATCTTTCATCGTCTTCTCAAACAGCCTCTTAATTTTTCCATATTCACTGGAATTGTAGCTGAGCTGTACCAACTGAAAATTTTAAAAACACCAAAACTAAAGTATTACTGACAGTAACAACTCCCATTCCTTTCAAAGGACTCATCGACATCCTCACATCAGAAGAAAAGTCCTGCCGTTAATATCACAAGCTTCTCCTGTCTTTCCAGTCAACCATCCTCTCCCTACCTTCACCCCCACTCCCCACATGGAAGCACAGGCACTGACTGAGGGAAATGAATACAATCCCACCTGAGCTTCCTTCGGTGGATACACCTCCACATCTAGATTATTTTTACTCCAGAGTAACCTAAAGATGAAATGCACAGCAGTATTCAAGCTGGAGAAGACTGAATACCAGTTTCACCTTAATTTGACACTCTATTTCCTTCCTTACAGGGCTAAGCCCTTGTTTTGCCACAGCAAATAACATTTTGCCTTAAAGCAATGGAGGAAATACCACAACACCCCTTTAAGATGCAATTCATCAAGTTTTATCAGAGGATCAGTGTCTTGGGAGGACGCAAAGGACAGGTCAAACCAGTAATGACAAAAAGGGCCTTTCTTATCCTGCATGGTGTATGTAAGGGTGTTTCAGAGAGCCTCCTCAGGAGACACAGGTCTGTTCTGAATGTGAAATGTCAGTCTTGGTTCATCTCATAGTTGGTTATTTTATAAGACATGTTTAAGAGCTGGGAACATCTCAAGTGCCTTGGGGTCATGTTCTCAGAAAAATCAGTACAGGACACAGTTTGCCCTGCCCATCAGAGAGCTGGAAAGAGGTACCTTGTACCCAACATCAGGCAGTGCAGACTGGTCCCATTGTGGAGGACATGAGAGAGTCATGTTTTGGCTGCAGGAAAGAAAAAAGGAGTGAGTCAGTCCATGATACTCCTAACCAAATCCCCCTTCTGAGGAATCCAGCTGCTGGCTCCACGGCAGCCTTTGGGTACCCCTGGATTTTTATTTTTGCTTTACTTTCCACAAAACCATCATCCCTTTCTCCAGCTTAGATATCCACACACATCCTAGTGGCCCTAATGCATCTCTTGGCAGGTCAAGACACCAGTAGGAGAGCTTCAAACGAGAAGTAACATGCTCCTAGACAGGTGGTTCATACAGCTGCTCCCTGCTAGCCCTCCCCATGTGTTCCTTGAATCTCTAGGAAACTGGAGTGTGAGCCCTCTCCCTCCACATGGCTACTCATCTCTAAATTGATGGCCAGATGGGTGGCCTGTTCCTACTTGTCCCCAAGAACAAGCCCGTCAAGAGTCTGTAGGTGGACAGTTGTGCCCTGCAGAGGCACTACTGCATCAGCCAGTGCTTAACGACTTCCAGCACTAATGGCCTCCTGACATGCATGTTTTAACCCAGGCAATAGGAGCATTAGTATCCATTCAGGAGCTACAGTTGTTTTTATTTTTGAATCACCCCCCCACTTTGTTGAACCAACCCTTAAATTGAACCCTTGACTTCAAATGCACTGTCTGCTTGTCGAGTTTCTGAAGCAGAAAAGGCTCTTTTTAAAATAAAGCAGTAGCACAACTAACTTTTACAGCAGACGTGCTCAAATTCTGTCAAGCTGAACTTCCTTTAAAAAAGCCGTGAGACAGAGTATCCCAAATAAGTGCATCCAGTTCGCTTCAGTTAGAGGGATTTGCTCCTGTGTTTTGTTTTATCCTCAACTTTCCAGGGGATGGCATCTATCTGCCCCACAGCTCTTGGGACTGGCAGTGCCTTGCTCCTACCCTGTGCACAGTTTATTTATTATTGTTGAGCCATAAATCAAGGAATAAAAATGCCTGGCACAGTTGTGTCAGCCCTGTGTGGCTTTGCTTTCACAGAGAGAACAAATTTACTCTATGGGTCTCTCACAGCTGCCAGAGACTGCCACCAAGCATCCCTCCAGCACACTTTACAGAAGTGTTGCTTAATTTACAAATACCGCCACTGCAAAATTTGCCATTAAACCAGTCAGCAAAAGATAGCCAAAAAATGCATGTAAGAAATCTAAAAAATGAATTCTAGATAGGTAGGAGGAACTTCTTAGCAGAAAGGTGCTGTCATCTAGAGACATTAATAAATAAGGAATGCATATTACCTTCTGTTTTGTCCGCCTTGAGAGGACAGAAATTTTGGCAGTCGGGCAACTTCTCTTTGAGTTCCAAAGACCAAATTTGTTTGTACCATGTCTTAAAAGAAAAACACAATGACTCCTTAATTAGACAATTTATTGTCCAGGGACACACTCTTATGTGTTTAGAAAAAATTTAAAAGGAGGTAGCCCTGAATACCACGTCATGGTGCTCTCTCTACCACACCCACCCCACTCCATACCTCAAAACCATTCCTGCTTGGAGCTCAGCAAGGTCAACCACCTGCTAGCGTAGGTTGTGAAGCTCAAAGGCAACCAACCACCAACTGCACCTGCACACGCACTCACATCCAGGCTGTTGGCCAGAGAAAACCACATCTGATGTCAGGCCTACAGCAGGGAAGAGTTTTCAATAGGATGGAGGCCATAAATCTAGCTTTCCCGGCAGTGCGGGATTGTTACATGGTGCTAAGAGGAAAGTCTGTCCTCTCTTCTTCGTCCTGTAGCAATATCACAGAACACACGCTGTGTGACATGGCTAATTATCCATTGTTTCCCCCCTTTAAGCACCACTCTCTTTATTCATGCCAGGAAACAGATTTAAAGTTTGGAAAGCTAAGAGGAATTTTAAGTTGGGTAAATAAATTAGAAACAGAAAAACATTTCTCATTTTCCCATTTTCTCTCTGTGCAACCAGCACTAAATTTTCCTTTGCTGCACTGTGTGCTTTCTCTCCACACAACTAGCTTGCAAGATGTCTACCAGGGGCTGACTTCTTCACCATTTGACTTTTCAGTGCCTGTTTGTTTTTTTTTTTCCTTTCTCATTTCTTCTCTTTAGTTGTATAAACCCAAGTGCATAAGCTAGATGCCATAGAACATTTACTCTCAGCTCTTACTCTGAATATATAGTATTGTCAGAGATGCTTTTTAGACTATAGATGCACAAGTCTAGAGGCTCAAGTGGGGCATCTCAAAGCTGCAGAGAAATACAAATGCACATATTGATCAAGTTCTGCTTGGAGAAAACTTACAGGAGGAAAAAGATCTGTTCAAAGAAATCCAGACACAGGGTGACAACTTCACATGAAGGAGGCTACCATAGAGCCAGCCACACTGTGTAATGAACTTAAAACAAGGAGATATTTCACCTTCAAATCTTAATTCATACTTCTGAGAACCAGCGCTGAAGAACACAATGCCTTTCCGGTTAGATAGAAATTTCTTCTCCAGATCTGCAGATTTCACCGTGGCAGAGCAGTGATCCGGATGCTACAGAAAGAACAAGGAAACCTGTTAGAAACCAGTCTTTGGTTTAGGTGACACTGTGCTGAAATACCAGTGTTTCCTCAGGCCCCTATCCCAGGATGCCATTTTGAAATAAGTCTCTAAGGCTTCAAACATTTTGTTCTTCAGAGACGGAAGGGTATGCCACAGAGAACAGCTGCTTGTAACAACAGTAACAAAGCAGCCTTCAGCCTGTGTGGTCAGCTTCAGCCAAAAGACATCCATCATCCCCGGAAAATGCACCCTCTTTCAGAGCCAGTCCTTTGAAAGCTTTCACAGAGCAGAAGTACTCCTTTGAGGGACAATTAATAAGGCAAATCCACCAGGGCATCAGAGCAGCACTGCAAGGGCACCCAGTGGCATGTGAAACACACCAGCTGCAGAACAACTTGCTCTAAATAACTCTCCAAAGATGGCTTAACAAGAGCTTTTGGCATCAACAGCAGATGAATCTCACCTCTTCCCCGTACTCAATCCACTGCCCAGAATCATCAAGCCAATACCAGGCATACTCCATGTCGGGAGCAGGCAGACGAGTCAGAAGACACCACAGGCGCAGAAGAGCTGACCGACGCCTGGCTGCTTGCTTGGCCCTAACATCAAAAGAGAAATCCAGATTAAAGTATGGGTCTTTCCCAAAGCTGTCAAACTGTGATATCCTTGGTCTGGTTAGAGGCCTAATCACTTCTCAGAAAAGGTGAACCCTCCAGCTGGGAAGTGCAGGTTCAGCCCAGAACCGAGGAACTGATGTTTATACATTTATGGGGCATGGTAAGCATCATAGAAATGACCTTCACCTCTCTGGCTTGGTCCTGGGTGACTGTTTTTCTCTCAAATTTATCTTTCTAAAATACACATTGCAAGAAAATACCACTTGACATGATAAACTCAGACCGTTACGTGAAGGCCAGTGGTGTCACCTGTCCAACAGCCTGAGGGTCCTCGCTAGTATCCTGTCTCTCTAACCTTGTCATCCCACAGCTTGTCACAGGCAAGCCTGAGATTATCCTCCTCCACCTTCAAGACTAGTTTAAACTTCTGTCAATGAGCCCTGCTAGCTTATAAGCAAAGACTCTCTTCCCTGTTCGAGAAAGGTGAACTCCATCTGATACCAGCAAGTCTGGTGCCATGTAGGCCATCCCATTATTGAAAAAGCCAAAATTGTGTCAGTGACACCAGCCATGGAGCCATGTATAGATAGACCGGAGCCATCTGTTTCTTCCAGTGTCGCTGCCCACCACTGGAAGGAGAGATGAAAAACTATCCTGTGCTACAGATTCCCTTACCAACTGCCCCAATACCCTGAAGTCTCTTTTGATCACCCTTGGAATATACATTGCAGCTTCATCACCACCCACACAGAAAAACAGTTATGGGCAATAGTCCAAGGGGCATACCAGCCTAGGAAGTTTCCTAGTGCTGTCCTTAACCTGGGACCAAGGGAGGCAACAGACTTCCCTAAGAGGACGGTCTGTCCAGCATATTGGACCCTCTGTTCCCCTCAGAGGGAGTCGCCTACAACTATAACCCATCTTTTCTTCTTTGTGGAAGTGGTCATGGTATGGAGGGTAGGCCTTTCTGACCTTTGTAGCACCTTATATGTAGATGAACATCCATTGACTGGCCTTCCATACCCAGAGCCTCATAGCTGTTGTAGAGAGGCACCTGGGAAGGCAAGGTGTCAAGGACTGGGTTCGCCTGCCACACTGAGTATGGAGTTGTCTCCATTCTCTCCTCTCCTTTAAGCCTGGTGGGGAAAGGATACAGTATACCCTTGGTCTTGTGGGGTTTTTTCTGGTGGCTGTTCCTGCATCTGTCTCAGGGAGGGTAGAGCATGGTTCCACCAGTCTACCTCCTTCCCAGCCTTCCTGAAGCTCCTTAACCTTTCTCCTCCCTCTGGTAGGTCTGCCACCAGGCTGGGGCAGGGGGAGGTAGAAGAGTGTCAGTAACAAAGGAGTGAAGTTGAGCCTGGGAAGAAGGGGGTGGCAGGAAGGTGTTGTTCTAATTTTTGTGTTTGTTTCTCACCATCCAAATCTGTTTTAATTGGCAATAAATTCCCCTTCCCCATGTCAAGCCTATTTTGCCCACAACAGGAATTGGTAAGTGATCTCCCTGTCTTTATCTCAACCCATGAACTGTTCCATCTTATTTTCTCCCCCAGGTCCTATTGAGGAAGGGGAGTGAGCGAGCGGCTGGCTGGGCCTCTGGCAGCCAGCCAAGGACAGATTCTTTGGAGGGGGAAAAACCCTAAACAAAAAATATCACTTACCAGCAAAATCCCTGCTCTGTGCTCTACCCTGACGACACAGCACCTGCAAAGAGAACAAGCTGAAACTTGTAGCCGCCAATAATTTAAATTTGGAGGATTTGACTTTACTTGCTGCTGTGCTTCACCCTCCTTTGCTTGCCCCAGTTTTGGACCCAGCCAACATTTTTTCTATACATCTCATCACTTTGCTGCTCCTACAACATTACCCCATTGTGGAGCACATACACGCAGCCGAGAGCTGCCCACCTGTGGAGTTCACAAGGGTCTGTGGCTGGCCTGAAGAACACACCATTCAGAGAAACTGGAAATGATCATTTCTCCGGCTCTGACGCCCTTCACGCTTTGGCAGGGATCATGGGCATTCAGAGCAGGCTGACCAGAGGAAATCATTATAGGAGGAGCTCCCTTATAGAGCTGGTTACAGTACAAAGGTCCACAAACAAAGGCTTGGCAGCCCTTGAACTGCCAGAACAAAGCGCGAGGAAGGACTCAAGTCTCCTTCGCAGCCCTAGCTTGTTCCAGTGCTGTCCTCAGACCACAGTTGCTCTTTGTACACAGTAACACCAGCCAGGCCTGTTCCTAGAAAAATGCTCCCAATTCATTTTCTCTCAAGTCCCATTGCAGGAGATTCATAAGATGCAGCACTCCCGGGAGATTTCTTTTAATTATTTTGGATGCGGCTGTCCTTTTCTCCCCTCTGCACAGCAGTGTGCTGCTACGGCTGCCACAGCAGAAGGATTTGAAGTTTGTGGATTTGAAGCGTGGGATTTGAGGGAGAGGAGGGGAAATGGAGATGAAAGCAACAGAGTGGGGTGGGATGATGTTTCCAGGCAGCTTTTCTCCATTGCTCCCCCCATCCCTGCTCCCTCTCTCCCCACACCACAAAGGAATGCTAACTCCTGCAGGCTCCCCTGTGGAGACCCAGGGCTCCCAGCCTGCCCTAACCCCACCAGCTACCCAAAATGGCCAGTTGTGCCCTACTTTCACTTTCACTTGCAAGCGTTTCTGCCTGTTGCAGGGATTTTCCACTCACCAACTAACCTCAACTATAAAGAAACTGAGGTGAAACACTCAATAAAGCAGACCGAAACATTTCTCTGGCAAGACAGGTGGTGTCCTTCACCTTCTGCTGAAGATTTTGCTATCTGGTCTTGTGCAACTGAGAGATTGCCTGTAAATTCACTTTTTATATCTCCACAGGAATAGCTTTACACAGAAGAAACTTTATACATACAAAGCAACCTCATACCACCTTTTCTCTTAAACACCTCCTCCTCATGCAGAAGAAAGGGTGAATTAATGAAGACATATACACGGGATGACTGACTGCAAGCAGTTGTCCTTCCAGCAGCCCTTAAAGCCAAGCCCACAAACCGTGAAATCCCCAGCTTCCTCCCTCCCAGCTCAGCAGCCCCCCAGGAAAGCTGTCAGAGCCCGTCTCCCCTACTCACAGTCCTGCCGTGGGGCTGCCCAGCCACCACCCCCGGGGAGCCAAGGGCATCAGCCACGTGCTTGCCGGTGGGATGAGCCCCCCGAAGCCTTGCTCCACATGGGAAAAGTCCTGCGGCTGCAGTAAATCCTTCAGAAATAAAATATGACTGGCCTGTCTGAGCTCCCTGTGAGCTCCCAAACGGCACGTTTGTACCTCGCTGCCCCTCTCGGCGTCTCTCTCCCCATGGGACGCCACGGGTGACTCTCCCCTAGCCCTTCAGAAACAGAGCTGCATAACGTTTCCTCCTGGTGATTGCGCCACACGCACGCGCGGCAGCCAGGGACAGCTGATGCATCAGTAAAATCAACATCTCTACGGAACAGCACAGCTGTTGTCGAGCACCAGCACTTACCTTGAGCCAATTCCTGCCATCCTTCCAGTGGCTGGGGGTATTCAGGACCTTCTCCTTTCAAGATTCCTGCCAGGAGCAGCTTCTGCTGAACATCAGTCTTTGAAAGCACGAAAGCTGGCGTTGCCTTGCAAAGCAAACCCCAAATCTCAATGCAGAAAAGGGGTGCAAATCTCAACACACAGCTCTCCATGTTGGTCATCACGCTGTTGGGGGGTTTGTGGTGCCAACCAAGCACAGAGCCCTGGGGGGGCAGGCTCTATCAGCCCACGCAGAGCTCTGCGCTCTCCCGAGGATCTGCATTCCTTTACCTCGGAGTCTGAGCCTCTGCTCTGTTATTCTCCACGGAAATCAAAGAGTTAGGAGCTTTCAAGTCTGACCTCCAGTATTTCACTCTCAAAGGCTGAGACCATTTACCAGCAGAGCTCTGAAGCATAAAGCTTA